AGAGAGTTATTGGGATAGACGACCGAGGACTGGCGCTCCTGTAAATGGTAAATGAGATGGTGTGATGAGAGGACGCACAGGGAAGGACGGACCTTGGTAGATTCGATGGCGGTAAGACGAGTGTCGGGTGGGTAGAATCCGCAAGTACATTTACATTCGCAATATGCTGGACGTCTGAACTCTTTCGTTATAATGTGGGACTACAAAGGCAACCAAAACGAACGACAACCTCTTCGCCTTACGGATCAGTTCATTGAGATAGGCCTTGGGAACGCTAACCTCTTCACTGGAATTCGCCTGAACGAGAGAACAAAATTTCGAGAGCCTGATTAGCCCATCATTTTCAAATAGTGGAAGAAAAAGCTCGCTGACGACAAGAAACATGAAAACCCGAAAGTAAGTGCGTAAGCCTGACGGATAATATCGAAGGCCGATCCGGCCACCGTTAACAGACGTTTGTTAATGAGTACTAGAACTTACTTCTCCATCGGTCACTGCTGTTCGTTTTCTAGGAATGGCTCGAGGTTTCTGATCGCTCAGCCACGATTTGCTCATGCCAGCCTTAATACATGAAACGATTACAGCACAACTGTAATCATCTAGTTATGAACTAGCAAGCTAGCAAACTTCCTTTTTAATGCGGAGATTGTGTAGTGGGTAGCGGTGCTCCATACACACACACGTACAGGTGTTCGGATCCTGGATCGATATCGGCCTGGGCCAACCAAGCCTTCCATCCCTCCAGGGTATTTGGTACCAGACTCGTTGGGAGTGAAAAGCACTGGCTTGTACATTAGCTGGACATCGCAAAGGTCACATACTCATTCATTATCGATTCTAAATGGGCGTGGGCGCATCCTGCAGACGAGATTGATTGACTTCCCAAGAATTTATCCTTTTATCCTTTCAACTTCCTTTTCATTCCAATATGAAGGCTACGACTCATGTGTGTGAAACGGTAGGCGCTAGTTATCCATAGTGGGAGACACAATGTCCACTCAGGTCTAACAGTGGATTTCCATTGCCCAACAAAGGCCTAGACGAATTTATAAGCAGCATGCGTGTAAAAAGCACTCGATTAAGGTCTGCCTAAATGAATAGCTTCGTTATGAACTCTATTTATTTGATTTACAAATTTGCTTGCGAAAATATACAAGTAGAACTTTAATCAGTTTACTTTTCCAAAAGTATAGAGCAACCAATTGGCGGAGAGCGATGCCTTTATTCAGGCAGAAAGTGAGCTAATCTGGGGCTCTAGGCATCGTGATCTACTTAGTT